CCACCTCACGCCCCTGTAAGAACTCACCACACCTCTTCCCAGTCTCCCATTCCATGACTTCTGTCTGCAATTTTTTCCACTCCAGCTACTGTTCTTGGCCATCCACATTTTAAAAACCTGGGTCACCTCTAATTTTGCTTCATTGGTCATGACTGACACTCAAAGGCCTTAATCAGAGACAAATCTTTGCCTTTGTCAAGTCTCAGTCAATGTCTATGACAGGAAAGATGGTGGAACAGAGTCTGCAGACTTGGCTGAGAGTGTGTATAGTGTCACACACAAGCTTCTGATTAGAAAGCTTTGTTTACCATCAATAACATCATTGTTGCTACTGTTTCTATGACAAATAGTGACAAGAGGTAATAAGACAGCTCAACCCCAGGGGGTGCTGACAGCAAAGATAAAGATTTCAGGTTGAAAGTGAGCTTTCACAAAGAGGCCATACAGGGCCTGTGACTGACTCTAAGAGTGGCAAGTGTAAGAACATTTTAGCTGTGTTCCAATCTTGAGTGCAGGCTAGGGAGCTGAGCTGGTGCAGCCACAGCTGTTGCAGACTGATTATAATTATTAATAATGAGACAGACACCCAGGAATGAGATAGAACAGAGAGCATAAAACGGGGGGCCAGCAGTTCTCAACTGAAGGCCCCAGCTCATGTTTCTCTGTATATTTATTGACAATCAGGGGAAGCAAATCATAAAAGAAATTCCTTGTAAATAAAGTCGAATTTTTCTCTATTGTCAACCTAATGCTCTAGTTCAGGAAGTATTTCACAAGGAAGTAACACTCCCTCTGTAGAGGGGCCCTAGCTGTCTCTTGTCTGCAGGGAACAAACAGCTCATTTTCTGTGATCTGCTACAAGGGAAATCCTAACGTATAAATTTGTAATTCCTTCAATTCCTGAACAACGGTTTTCACATAATGTTTGGTATAAAGTTTGGCTTCCCGTACACAGCCTCAGCATGGCCCTACTGAGAGGACTGCATGGGTAAGTGCATGCAAACTCTTTGGAACATGTGCTGTTTCCAGAACCCCACGGAGTTAAACCTCACCTCTGAGTGAGTGGGTCTCAGGACAGATATCTTCTCTGAACATGCACTAAAAACATATCCACTACCAGCTCCAAACCCAAACCTGAAGGGAGGAAGGTCAGGAGAGAGAAGAGCAGTGGGACAGGATAGAGGGGTAACAGGTGGGGGGATGGTACATGGATCAGGGAGGAAAATGAGCACAGCAGAAACTGTGCCCATCAATACTCTTGAATGCTTCCACCTGCAAGGGAGGCTGGAAGTGAAGGAGTTCTGACTGAAGTGCTGTATGTGGAAAAGGCGGAAGGTGGGGAGCAGAAGGGCCCAATCTTGTCTACTTTGGTGGCTCTGGGACAGGAGACAGTAGGACATGTACCTCTCCAAGAGTGCAGGATCAATTATCACTATCAAAGGTGCTCCCAACACTGTCCTCAAGAAGCAGGACACTGGAGACACTAAATGTCCTGAATCTCAACAGGGCTGAACCTTTGCTGCCCACTCTCCAACCCCTGCTTTTACAGCTCGTGCTCCATGCTGTAACTTCAGATGGGAATGTCATCGAGAGCCCAGTGGAGATCATGGTCACAGTGATAGACAAGAACGACAATAAGCCTGAATTCACCCAGGAGGTCTTTGAAGCATCTGTGATGGAAAAAGCTCTCCCAGGTCTTTAGAGTGATGGGAGTTAGTAACAGTGGCTGTAAAGTCGGGGGAATGTAAAGAATCTGGAGATCAGAGCATAACTACCACAAATACTAGTATCAAAAGCAAACACTTGGGCTTCTATGGTGGGCAGTGACTGGTGACATCTCAGGTTAGAAGCTGGGACCCTCGAGGCTTGTTCAGGTAAGCAGGCATCGGGAGGACCATCAGGCAGACAGGGTCTCATGAATATCCTTCAGGGCCCTGGGAGATCCAGGTCATTGGCACATGGCTCCTCAGTCTCTCTGAACCTGTTTCTCTATAACCAGCCTTACTCACAACCCCTGCCTCAGCTTGACTTTGGAGCCAGTCCCTGTGCCTCATGTGCTTTCATGTCTGTGTCTTCTCACCCAGCTCAGGGACCACAGCCAGCGGCAGTGGCTCCTGTGGACAGGAGGGAGGCATGTTGTGCTCACAATGGTTATAGTCCCAGCAACTACAGAGAGAGGACTTCTAGAGGACGTGCCTCCTGGCGTGATGTGATATTACCTAAGACCCCTGGGCTCCCAATCTGAAAACTTAGGGGCATATTCTAAACTCTCTGGGGCTGAAAATTATGAGGCATTTCACAGGAAAATGGCAGCCTGATGGGTGACTTCTCCCTTACTGATTTACTCAACAATGGCTGGAGAGCATGAGGCCCCAGCACTGACCCACCTGCCCCAGGCTACTCATACATCCCCTTTCTCTCTTTCTCAGCTAGTAGCAACTGCCTCTGGTTGGTCACAAGGGCAAACTGGGCCTTCCCAGAAAAGGTGCCAATTGACCAAGAGATGGGGAGATGATGGGATTGTGGGACATGACTGTCCTGAAACCCTCCTCAAGTCTCAAAAGCACCTCCAGCTACTAGGGAAGAGGATGTCTTAAAGACTTCTTTAAAAGTCAGCAAATTATCTGGAAATTGCTATGTATATGAATCACTGTAACCAGCTCTGGTCTCACAGGCTGAACAACTTTATAACTCACGCAGTCAGTAGACAAATGAAAGACAACTGTTTCCTTAGTCATCTACAGGCTCCTCACATCCCCTGTCCTTACAGGAACCTCTGTGGTGCAGGTCACAGCCACGGATGCTGATGATAGCATAAACACCAACAACGCAGCCATCACTTACTCTATCCTCAGTCAAGACCCTGCTTTGCCTTATGAAAACATGTTCACCATCAACCAGGACACAGGGGTCATCACTGTGCTGGACTCTGGGCTAAATCAAAAGGTCAGGTGCTTATAGATCCAGAGGACACTATAATCAAATGTGCATTTGTCCCTGCTAAGGCAAAGCCACCAATGTGAATAGATACCTTACTAGTCAGAACAGACATCAGCCAGACTATCAAAACAAATGCAGATTTAGCCAATCTAAATAGACCCTGACCAACCAGACCGGGCAATGACCAATCAGAACAAACAATGACCCAGCAGAACAAAAGCCAAAGCAATGAGAACAGATGCTGGCCAATCAGACCAGATATTGCCCAATTAAAACCATTCAGAGAATAGGCATTGACCAATTAGAACAGACTGGTGAATCAAAACGTAAATACAAATAATTACGACAGAAACAAATCTAAACAGATCGAAACCAGATCCTGTTCTCAGTCAGAACAGGCACAGACCAGTCAAAACAGGCACTGAACAATCAGAACAGACACTGACCAATCAGAACAGACACTGACCAGTAAGAACAGGCACTGACCCATCAGAAGAGACAAAGCACATCAATACAGGTGCCAGTGTCCCAGGCTGACAGTGTGCACTAGGGGTCACTAAAGAGTCATAGGAGGAAACTGGAAATCTCTCTCCACATGAATCCACTTGGAAAAACAGGCTGAGCTGACTCTCAACAGGGTCAAGTGGTGATGAAAATAGACACCCCCTTGTGTTTCTGTGATGCTACATCCATAAAGTCTCAGAGGGTGTGGGGCTGGGGTGTCCACAGATTGAGACATATCTGAGTTTGCCTCTATGGAGGGTGGTACTTAGCTGAGATGGGACAACCACCATCCCAAGAGTGCCTGCAGGGTCCTCAGCTTCTGACAATGACCATTGTAACTGGGAGTCAAGGGTGGGCCCAAAGCCACTGACCAGTGGTCAGACCCTCTACACAAGCACCTGTCTGCTTGATCCACAGACCACAAGCAAGTACATGCTGACAGTTCAGGCAACCGACTTGAAAGGGCTTATGGGCCTCCATACGACAGCCAACGTGGTCATCAGAGTCCTTGAAGAGGTATGTCCATAGACTTACCTGGCACTGAGATGTCTGTGCTAGAACACAAAAAAAGAGGGTCCCCATCCCTGTGCCCATAAAATCCAGCCTGGCCTTTAACACCGCTGCCCAACACCCATCACAGAGCAGGCTAGCCAAGTCTGTCGCCAGCACTGTACACAGTGTGGGGGCAGCGCTGGGTCAAGGTCAGCCTTGCTGGATACCGGAGAGGAAAGTTCTACCCTTAACTTGGACCTCTTGTGGTACCAGCTGGTGAAGAGCAGCCGGTCCCCAGGTCCCCATGGCCCAAGGTGGTCTTACTCTAGACACCCTCAGGGGAGTATGGAAGTGAGGTCAGGGCAGAGGAGAGTCCTGTAGAAAATGTCAGGACCCCAGCTACACGCTGCTAGGCCCCCAGCCTCCCCATCATTTAACAATTATTCATTTAGTCACTACTCACACCTAGGAACCCCAGGATAGTGCACACTGCATACTGGCAACACCCCAAAGGTTAGAGGTTCAAGTCCACCCGAGGTGCAACAAGAGAAAGGCCTGTGATGGGCTTGCAAACAGCGCAGCCCTCTGACCTGGCCCTGTTGCGATAGACCCAAGAAAATGGGCCCAGACAACCCCGCCCTGTCCCACCAAAGCCATTCAGCAGCCCAGGCAACGGAGACCGGCTCCCCGCAGCCAGCATCTGAACCTGCCCTGCCCCCTGGGGCTCCCCAAAAAATCCTGACCGAGTCATGGAGGGGGAAAAAAAGTCCATGTAAATGCTTGGCCTCCGCGAGGGCCCCCAACTCCGGGTACACGGCCCCCCCCCTGACCACCAAGCAGAGGTCGGGGGAGGAAGGGCCGGGGGCGGGGTCACGGCAGGGGAGGCCCCGCCCTCCTGGCCGGACTCCACTTCCGGCCGGCGGGATCCTCCGTGGCGGCCGCAGGTGTGTTCTAGGATCGCCGGGGGTCTCTCTGCGGGGTTGCGGAGAACAGGGCGGGGAGGGGAGGGGAGTATCCCACCCAGTGGTCTGCCGGTGACCAGACGGGTACACAGAACTGCGGCCATGAGCTCTAGGGCTGCCCCGCGGCTCCAGCAGCTCCAGCGGCACCTGGGCGCCCCAGAGGTGAGGTGTCAGGTGTAGACGCCCGGGGTGCCTGACCCTTCCACCCGCCGTGCTGTCTGCTGGGGCAGGGGCTGACGGCAGACCAGCCAGTGGTACCGCTAACATCTCTTGCCTTTGCCCACCCTTGGGGCTGGGGGCATTTTGGGGAGGAGTGGCCCCTGCTCCAGGACTGTTGTCTCACGACTGATGAGCCTCCCAAGAGCTGCGCCCCTACCCCCACCCCCTATCTCCAGGGCAGCGACATGGAGACTCCCAGCAGCCCAGTGACCACGCACGTGTTGGACACTGCCTCAGGACTACCGGCCCAGGGCCTCTGTGTCAGTCTGTCTAGGCTGGAGGTTGAGGGCCACCGTCAGCAGTGGTTGGAACTAAGAACAAGGTAGGAAGGGGCCCACTGGCAGGACACTACTACTCCCAGACCACAGCCACGTCCAGCCAGGAGGAGCTGAGGTGGGTCCAGGCCCTTCCCACCCTGTAGGAGGACAGTGTCCCCACAGAGCAGAAGGACCTGACAAGAGGTCAAAATTGGGCCTAAATGCCTAGATACTGACAGAACCATGTTGTAAAAAAGTCTGCCAAAGTACATGCACACCCCCTTACAGAAATGGGGGAACCTGCTTAATGCAATTACTGACAATGGAGGCTGTCCTTGGCTTCTCTGTAGCGGAGTCAGTGGGGATGGAGACCCTGGGAGAGCAGTGGAGGTACAGTGAGGATGTAGGCGCAGGTGAACCTTCATCAAGTGGGTGTAGGGGCCCAAAGGGAGCTGGTGAGACCTTTGTCCGGTAGGGGAGCGGGCCCGGTGGGAGACAGACGGAACCCTCATCCAGTCCCTCCGTGTTCCCCACAGCCACACAGACACAGACGGCCGCTGTCCTGGGCTGTTGGAGCCTGGCCAGATGAGAGCGGGTGTCTACAAGCTCACCTTCGACACTGAGGCCTACTGGAGGAGGAAGGGCCAGGAGAGCTTCTACCCTCAGGTGGAGGTGAGTGTGAGAGGCAGTGGCTAACCCACTGTGGTCCAGCCTCACCCACACAATGGACAGACAGGCGCCAGCCACTATCTTGGATTTGGGGGGGTGAGGGGGTGGAACGGGACAGTCACCTTCTTTGAGCTCCGGGAAGGTGTCCATGGGCCCAGGGCACAGTACGCTTTACAAGACCACACCTTTGGCAGCTGCCCCGGATCAGGCTTTAGAGGGGGTGGGCGGGGTGACTCAGGTGTTTGCTGGCTGTTGTCATCTGATTTCTCTCCCTTCCCTATGCCATCCTCAAAGCTGACTCTTGAGTCATCCACACCTCTGGAGGACCCCTTGTTCCAGGTCTCCAGATAATGGGGCCGAGCTGGGCCTCACGCCCCTGGGGGTCTCTCTTCTCAGGTGGTCTTCACTGTCACCGACAAGATGCGGAAGCTCCACGTGCCCCTGCTCCTGAGCCCCTGGTCCTACACCACCTACCGTGGGAGCTAGCGGCAGGAGGGCTGCTGCTTCCCATGGAAGGTTCCTGGCACCTTTTCCCCTCTCATGCTCCCCAGGTCTTAATAAAGTCAGGCTACCACCTCCAGATGCCCTTCTGGTTGGGGATTAGAGTAGGGGGCAGGGAATGGAGCCCTGGGGAGACCACAGGGATAACAGGGACGACCCTGGTGGGCCCTCCACAAAGGACAGGAGACAGGCCATGGGGAAAGACTTTCATCGGCTAACCATACAAATCTAAAAAAAAAAAAGCCAGCTATATAGGGGTGGCAACCAGCCCAGCAGGACTCTGGCCCATTGTCTGCCCGATGATAGCTGTCTCCAGGGGCTTCAGGCCCACGTTGTCCAAGGGGATCCCAAAAGCCAAGAGCTTCGCCTCATAGGTGCGCAGGAGGTCATTGTGTGCCTGTAGAAAAGAAAGCATGGGGTCCCTCAGTGTCCCAGGACTGGGGACTGTGCTAGGAGTGACATGGTCTTCACCAGGGTTTACAAGCCAAGTGCAGGAGCTCTGGACTTGGCCTTGCTAAGATACACCCTAGCAATAGGGCTGGGCCTCTCCCTGGGGACCCCTGACCCCTGTGTATGTCTAAGCCCCTACAGTGGAGTAGAAGCAAGGCCACTGGGGCTCTGGTTCCTCTGCCCAGACTTCTAGGGAGGGCAGGGGACTGGGTCCCAGACACCAACGTACACCATGAAGAAGGGTGTAGAGCTCCACTAGGCTCATGAACGATCTGCCCAGAGGGGCCCATACACACTCTTACTTTCTGCAAACCTGCCCAGCTGACACAAAGAAGGAAACCCTGAGCTGGGAGCCCTATCTCTCCAGGCCATGCAGCTGGGCCCCTCCTCTGCAGGTATGTCCTGTCCCCTACTTGTCCTCATCTCCAAAGGATACCTTCCTGACCTTACTAAGGCCACGATCAGGGTGGGGTCTCTCTAGAGGGTGATTCGTCCCTGGAGGGCTGAGGAAAGCTGTGCATCCTCACAGAGCCCGCTTCTGGGGACCTTCTGCACAGGGCCTGGCCCAGCTGGGGTGGAGCTGTGTACCTTGCAGACTCGGGCCAGCTCATACTGAAGGTCCTTAATGGTGTTGTTTTTGGAGTCCAGGATTTCCTGAGGGGACAGCAAACAGGAGGTGGACACACAGGGAGGGTTAGATGTTTCAACAATGGAAAGAGTTCCCTATTCCAACTTCCTAAAGGAGAAAGTGTGCTTTCTACAAAGATGGCTCCATAGCACAGAAGGAAGCTCCTGCCCCTCCCAAAACTGAAGCCAAAGCTAAGGGGTTAAAGGCCAAGAAGGCCATCCTAAAGGGTATCCAGAGCCAGACAAAAAAAAAAAGATCCACACATCACCCACCTCCCGGCGGCCTAAGATGCCAAGACTCCAAAGGCAGCCTAAATACCCCCCAGAAGAAATACCCCAGGAGAAACCTCCTTGACCACTATGCCATCATCAAGTTTTCCCTAAGCACTGAGTCAGTCATGAAGATAGAAGATAACACACTTGTGTTCTCTGTGGATGTCCACGCCAACAAGCACCAAATCAAATAAGCTATAGGACACTGATGTGGCCAAGGGCAACACCTTGATCAGGGCCTGATGGAGAGAAGAAGGCCTATGTCTGACTTGCTCCTGACTGTGATGCTTTGAATGTTACCAACAAAATTGGAATCATCTAAACTGAGTCCAGTTGGCTAATTCTAGATATAAATATCTCTCACAAAAAAAAAAAAAGATAAAATGTCTGGCTTTTAAACTCTGGGCCAGTATCAGACCGGGGTCTGGTCTGTAGGCCCTGGGCACAGGTCACCATGAGGGGCCTGGCCTGCCTCTCAGGCTGCCTCATCTGGACACCCCCACAGGGACTCTGTCCAGGTGGCTCAGCCCACCACATAGTTTCCAATGACCCATTGTAAACAGCACAGCACACAAAGAAAAGGTCCCCAAAGCCAAAATTCCTAGGAAATTTTGAAAAGGAAAAACCTAAGGGGAAACGTAAGGGAGCACTGGTAGCCTAAGGGCAAGCCGTGCTGCAACCCCAAAGACACATGGTTCCAGTCACCGGCTGCTCCGTGGGGACAGGAAAGGGCAATCACCTATGTGACTTACTGCCTCTGAAAACCTGCTGGAGGGCCAGCTAGGAGTCAGTTTCGAATCAAAAGTACACAACAACAGCGAAACTTGAGGTCAGCTGCTTTCTAGAGAAAGTAAGAAATGACTAAAAAAGGAATGTAACTGCATGAAAAAAAAACAAACCTATTTGTTGCCATTCCAAAGAAAAGTCACCCAACAAAACTATAGAACAATCTCATTGATTTTACATGCAAGCAAGATTCTATTGAAGATTATCCAAAAACGACTGGAACAACACATCAGCAGAGAACTGCCAGAAGACCAGGCTGGGTTTAGAAGGGGTCGTGGTACTAGGGATATTGTAGCTGATGTTAGATGTATCTTAACTGAAAGCAGAGAATACCAGAGGAATGTCTGTGTTTCATTGACTATGCAAAGGCATTTGACTGTGTGGATCATAACAAACTGTGGCTGACTCTGAGAAGAATGGGAATCCCAGAACACTTGATCGTGCTAATGGGAAACCTATACTTGGCCAAGAGGCAGTCGTCAGACCAGAGCAAGGGAACACTGCACGGTTCAAAACTGGGAAGGGCGTACACCAGGGATGCATCCTATATCCATACCTTTTCAACCTGTATGCAGAACAGATCATACGGGAGGCTGGGCTCTATGAGGAGAAATGTGGGGTCAAGATTGGTGGAAGATCTGTCAACAATCTGCGTTATGCGGATGACACAACCCTGCTTGCTGAAACTGAGGAGGCCCTGAAGCACCTGCTGCAGAGGGTCAAGGACTGCAGCCTCCAATATGGATTGAGGCTCAATGTCAAGAAGACAAAGATTCTCACCACTGGGCCAACTGGAAGCATCAGGATGGATGGTGAAGAGATTGAGATTGTACACAGCTTTAGTTTGCTTGGCTCCACAGTCAACACTCTTGGCACCAGTAGCCAGGAAATTAAAAGGTGCATTGCCATGGGGAAAGTCTACTGTAAGGAACCTCTCTAAAGTACTCAAGAGCAACGGTGTCTCTCTGGAGACTAAGGTGCATCTGATACAGGCCATGGTCTTCGCAATCACTTGTTATGCATCAGAGATCTGGACAATGACCAAGGAGGATAGAAGGAGAATTGATGCCTTTGAGCTGTGGTGCTGGAGAAGAGTGTTGAGAATACCATGGACTGCTAGGAAAACAAACAGATTCATCCTGGAAAGGGTTAAACCTGGTGGCTCTTTGGAGGCAAGGATTCTGAGGCTCCGTTTAACATACTTTGGACATGTTGTAAGAAGAGACTGGTCCTTGGAGAGGGACATCATGCTGAGGAGGGTGGAGGGACAGCGCAGGAGGGGCAGGCCCTCTATGAGGTGGATTGATTCAGTGACTGGGGTTATCAGGATGGGAGTGTCAGAGTCAGTGCGATTGGCACAAGACAGAGCAGAGTTTAGGGCTGTTGTGCATAGGGTCGCTATGAGTCGCAAGCGACTCGACGGCACATAACAACAACACCACAATGTTAACACATGGCCTATGACAAGAACACACGGGACAGGAAACAGCTGCCCAGAGTGGCAGCGAGGAAGCCAGCTTCTCTCAGAGTACACAACAGAGGCACAAGGCCTCTTGAGTAATGGCTGGAAGAAACCATATGGGGTCCACCAACACCACCACGTCCCCAGACTCTCCTAGCCACTAGGAAGGACCACACACACAGCCCTAGGGAGGGGCGTTGGGCTGCACCTGTGGGGACAGAGGCTACATTTTCTGCTTTTAATGAAGTGTAAGGTGTACTCAAAAAAGGTTTATATTTAAGAAACCTTAAAAATTAAAAGCTGGGGAGCTCTGGTGGCCTAGTGGCAAGAAGCTGCACTGCAATCCCAGAGGCGCACTATTCGAAACCACCAGATGCTCTGCCGAGGAAGGAGGGATAATCTCCTCCTGTACCGGTCTGGTCTGATTTGATGGTACACACACACACACAAAATAATAAAATAAAAATTTAAAAAAAATTTTAAAAAATTAAAAGCCAGGGACTTTACAGACACACAGGTGGTGACAGGTATGGGCCGCAGGCTTGATATCCTAGAGCTCCAGCCACTGTTACACGTCTGGGGTTTTTCCTAAGCCCAGCTGAGCCTCTCAGCATAAAGCTCACACCTGCTTTTGGACAAACATGCCCTGGCTGGTCACTGCTTTATAATCAGGTGACATGGCCCACCTCCAGCCTATGGGACACCAGCGACAGGGCCCCAGGGTCCATGTTGGAGCTGGCCAGCACTTCGTTGAGCTGCGCCTCCTTCTGCTCCACAACACTGCTCAGCGCTTGCACCTTCCGCTCCAGGAGTAGGTTCCGGAAGCCTGTCTTCTGCTGCACCTCCTGGATGGCAGCGGTGAACTTCTGGTAGAGCTGATCTCGTTCTTGCTGCACCTGCAGTGGGCGGCCAACACCAGAGCAGATGTTCAGCCAGGCTGCCTCAGGTCAAGGGAAGGGAGGCGGTGGGGGGGAGGGGGGAGGAAGGGGACAGGGGAAGGAGAGAGGGGAGGGAGGCAGTGGGAGAGGGGAGACTGAGGGAGGGACGTGAGTAAAGGAAGCTGTGGGAAGAAACTGATGTTTAAGCCTAGGAGGAGATGCCTTCAATGTGCGCTAGGTTCTAAAAGCCCCCAGGGGTTCAGGGGTGGCCAGTAAGTACAACTGTGCAACTCCCCATCTCTTTGCTTGCTAACTGCTCAACATACAAATGAAATCCTTTCAACATATAAATGAAATCCTTTTGTGAGAGTGAGGCCCCATCATCCACATGTGGAATGTCCCGTCCACAATGTTCTAACTGAAACCCATGACCCTATTCCCCCTACAGGTCTCTCAGAAGTCTCTTCCTGGGAGACGCCAGCCCTAGTGGCAGAAGTGACCTTTCTAAACCCTGCATGACCACCACTAAGCCCAGTCCTAGGACTCACAACTCCTGGAACCAGCACAGGAATAGGGCTCAGAAAGCGCCCCTCCTGGACTGGCACTAATCCTCCTTCACCTCCCTCCCAGGATGGTACCCCTACCCCTTCACCTGTACCCACTCACCATGGCCCACACCTATCCCCTCCCCTGGGATGGACACCTGTACACACTCACTGTGCCCCACACCTATCCCTCCCTCCCGAGATGGTACCCCAACCCCTACACCTGTACCCACTCACCGTGCCCCACACCTATCCCTCCCCCTGAGATGGTACCTGTACCCACTCACAACAACTGTCCACCTTCCTGGAAGTACTCCTTCCTTCACCTGTACCATGTCAGGACCTGGCACTGACTCCAGAACCAGTCTGATTCCAAGTGGTACCCCTCCCCACTCACCCCATGTTCACTGCACCCTACCTTAATAAACCGCTGCTCCAGCACCTCATATTCCCACTGAAGGTCTTTTAACTCTTTCTCTGTGACTTTCAGGCGAGCTTTTGTGCACTAGAGAGAGAAAAAATTATGCAGGCTCGTGGAAGAGGAAGTCACCCCCTTGAAGAGTCAGCACTGGGGTGAAATGGTGAAGCCAGGGATCCAGCCCCCAACCTGCCCTCACAAACCAGGCCATCTCCCCAAAAACCTCACCTTCCTCTAACAACCAAGGACCCAACTCCCCAAGAACCCCACCTACTCCTATCAGTTCAGGACCCATCGCCCCAGGGATCCCACCTTCCTCCACCAGGCAGAATCCATTTTCCAGGACCTCAACTGCCCTACCAGCCAAAGACCCATCTCCCACGGCCCCGCCTTCTTCTACCAGTCAAGGACCCATCTCCCCAAAATCTACAACTTCGTCTACCAACAAGGATCCATCTCCCAGGGCCTCACCTTCCTCTACCAGCCTGAATCCCTCTCCACAAGACTCCAACCTTCCTCTACCAGCCGCTCCAGCCAAAAATCCATCTCCCAGGTCCCCACCTTCCTCTATCAGCCAAGGACTTATCTTCTACGAGCCCCTTCTTCACCCACCAATCAAAGAACCATATCTGTAGGGCTCCCACAATCTTCTACCAGCCAGAATCCATCTCCCAAGGCCTCACCTTCCTGTACAAGTCAAGGACCTGTCTCTTCAGGGCACCTACCTTCTTCCACCAAACAAGTAACCAACTCCCCAGGGCCCGTACCATCCTCTACCAGTCAAGGACCAATCTCCCCAAGAACACCACCATCCTAAACAATCCATCTTCCCAGGCCCCACCTTTCTCAGTCTGCCAAGGTATATATCTCCCTAGGGCCCCATCTTCCTCTATGAGCCAAATTTCTCTCCCAGGGGTCCCCACTCCCCCTGCCTACTAATCAAGGACACATCTCCCAGGAGACGGGCTGTGTTCCATGATCCCATCAGCTATGTCCGTACCGCAGCACCTCACCTCCTGCTGGCATGGTTGTGCTCCAGGATCCACGAACCATGTCCTCATCCCAGCCATCCCACCCGTCCCCTCTTGGCCAGCGCCATATCCCATGACCCCTACTGCCTGGGCAGATACCCACTGTCAGGATCTGTTTGTCACGCTCGTAGTGTGTGAGCTTCCGCTGCATCTCGCCCATGTCATCCCGTGCCCGCTGTAGCGGGTCTGCCAGGCGCTTGTTTTGCATGGTCACCTCGGCCATCTCTTTCTCCAAGTGGTCCTCTTTCTTCCGCATGTCTTCCATCTGCTCCTGTGGGAGGACAGTGATGCACCATCACAAGGCCATTTCAAACAGAGAAATCTGCGGTTTCAGTCCTGCCTTTTCTATATAAACTGGCAGACAACACGCTGCGTGAGACACCTGTCACAGAGGCCCCCAGAGTGGCCAGTAATTCAGGGTCCTGGGGCAGGACAAAGCTGCAGTTTCATTCTCAAAGTGCACGTTGTCTTATGATGCTGCATCCCACTGGGCAGTGGCCTAGCTGACGCTAAGCCCATGGTTCCCTGAGACTGGACTGCAACACACCTTGAGTGAGTTAATGAGGGCCAGGTTGTTGAGAGTAATGTCGTTGTAGTAGTTCTTGATGTCGGCAAAGGCCTCCTCATGCCGCTGCATCAGCGTGTGGATCTTCCCACTCTTCCTCTCCTCCACCTCATGGATCTCTGTCTTCCTACGCAGGTCCATCTCATCCCTCAGCATCTTCATCTTCTTGTCATACTTGGCCTCGATCTCTGTAAGGCAGTACACTCAGAGGGACTTCTGAGGGAGTGGAGTTAGGACTCTGCCTGGGGCACTAACCACACCTGTGCAGATAGACAGAACCTTAGGCTAGGAGCCAGAGACCACTCCAAGAACACTGCCCATGAGTCTGAGGCTGGCCTGGAGAGGGAGGCCGCAAACCCTGGCCACTTCGGCTTCCCCAGCCTGGCGTCTGTGTCCTGAGTTAACAAATAGCCAGGGGCAGTGCTTTCTGAAGAGGTGGGGTCTCAGCCGCTGTACACAGAGAACTGACCTCGAACTTGCCTCTCAAAGTCACTGCGCATTTTGGTGAGCTCCTCAGTGTGTTTCTGCAAAGACAGAGCAGAGAGTGAACAGTGAGATACCGAGAAGGCTGGCCTTCGTCAGATCCTGTCCTTGGCCTAGTGCTGCAGCTAGGGTAGATGGACAAGCAGAGATGTGCTTTGGGACATGCCACGTTAGCCCCAGCTGCCAGCACGCCTCAACTATTTTTTCTAGAGAAAGGTGCTTAAAGGGGCATTGCAGATACAGGCTCAGGCCAGGTAGCCTTTAGGAAGGGGCATCAGAAGGATCGGTCAGTCCTGGAGCCAGGCTAAGATGTCCATGTGGAGGTGCACAGCCTGACACATTGCTGAGTTTCTCCAGATTACTGGACACAGGCCTGCTTCCAGACCCTGCAGCCAAGGGGCTCTGTTCTTCCTCCACTGAAACCACAAAGGTCATCTAGCTCACAGAGGGCCATGGGGCCGTGCACACAAAAACCCCTCAAGGCCACCCAGCTCACTGTCCACACACAAAGCCCCAGAGGCTACTCAGTTCACTAGGGGGCGTCGACATACAAGCCCCTCCAGAGGTTGTGGAGCTCACTGCGATGGGGGTGTTGCCCACACACAAACACTCCCCCCCTGAAGGCCACCCAGCTCACTCTCAGAAGGGGAGTTATCCACACACAACACAAACTCCCAAGGGCTCCCCAGCTCACTGGGGCCGTGGGGGGAGACACACGACTATCCACACATAAACCCCCGGAAGGTTGCTAGCTCAGTACAAGGATTTTTAGCCACATAAAAATCCCTCCAAAAGACCACACAGCTTACCATGGGAAGGGGCTTCAAGTCCACTTACAAACCTCCAAAAAGTCGCCAACTCACTAGGGCCGGGAAGCTATCCACATACCAAAGGCTACATAACTTACTGTGAGAAAGGGATCGGGGCCCATATACAAAGCACTCCCACACAAGGCTGTCCAGCACACTGTAGGGAGGAAGGGGTGTCCACACGCAAACTCCCCAGATGGTTGCCATGCTCACTATGGGTGTGTGTCACACAAACCCCCAAAGGCTAACAGGCTCGCTGGGGCGATGCCCTCAGAATCCTCCATGGCTCTGTCCCCAGCCTCTCCCACTTCTACCATCAGCCTCCCTCCAACTTTGGGCTGAATGTCGCCTTCATAAGGAGCCACAGCCGCCCTCCTAAAACACTCACTCCACCTGGCACGCACTTGGGTGACAATTCATCTGCCTCTGTGTTGCATGCTGTCCCCCTTCACACGCTGCCACATGCTGATCACTGTCCACTCTCAGGGCCTGGCCCTGTGTGTCCAAGACTTGGTCATGCTGGTTCCCACTGCACAGGAAGAGGGTCTCCTCTCAAGAAGTCACCTCAGTGATGTAAAGGTCAGCAGACAGTTTCTGCTTCTGGCACCCAAGCAGGTTTGCTTGGCTATGCGGTACCTCAGAACACAGGTCAGCTCGTTGCCAAAAGCACTCCTGGCTGCACTGCACCTACCAGCCGCAAGCTCTTCACCACCACCTCACTGGCCAGCTCCTGCTCCTTGAGTTCCACCTTGAGTGACCGCATGTCCTTCCGCAGGGCGCCCTCCTGTGCGCGGTGCTCCTTCTGCGCCAGTTTCATGACCACCATGCCCTCCGCCTTCATCTCCGTCAGGTTGTTCTGGTGCTCATACAGCAGGTGCTTCACTTTCTGCTTGTAGACCTGAGGGGCACGAGAGAATTATCTGCACACCTACAGGCCTCAGCACACACCTGCACACTCACTCAGACACTTGTATGCACCTGCATCATCAGACACACACACCCTTAACACACCTAGACATACCTACATACTCACACACCCACACACACTTCTACGTTCATACTCTCTTGCACACACCTGTATATACCGACATACTCATACACCTGCATGTCTCTGTATATATCTGCATGTCCATACGCTGTACTCCCTCATGAATACCCGCATACTATGTACCTGAACAGACATGCACACACTTGCATAGTTATGTAGCAGAAAACCCCAATACACACCTGAATGCCCCTGAACACATCTGCACACCGCTACACAGTTGTACACCTGCAAATACCTGCACGTCCCTACAGATACCTGTGCAGGTCGGCATGCTCCTATGTACACCTGCATACCCCTGAACACTTCTACACAGACCAATACACTCCTGTGTCCACACACACATGCAGTCACACTGCTGCACACTGTCTGGGGCAGACCATTGTAACACAAGAGTCTGAGACCAGGAGAGAAGGAGCAGTCTGTTGCTGGTGGCAGACAGTCTTCAGGAAGACTCACCTCGCTCTTCCACTGGGAAGAGAACCTCCCACCACTGGGGCACTGGGAGGGGATGGTTGGGGTGAGGGGCGCTCACCTTGATCTCCACTTGATGCCGCTCCTCAGCCTCCTCCATCTCTCGGTCCTTATTGCGAAGTTCAGCTTTCTTCTCCTCCAGCTGTCTGCGCGTGATCTCCCAGAAGGTATGGATCTTGTCCCGCTCCAGCTGGAAATAGTTGCGCTCCTGGCGCTCACGGTCCAATTCCTCACGGATGCGGTTGATGTGCTCCTCTACCTGGACACAGCAGGGCAGAGACTGGGGGTCAGGGTCAAGGCACCACTACGGAGAAGGGGGGGGGCCCGCTTCCACCCAAAAAGAAGTCAAAAGAGGAATCTGAGAATGGCAATGCTAGGAAGGGCAGGGATGCTCTGTAAATTCAATTTATTTGACCAACAATCTTCTACCCATGATAAGCTTTCTTGTCTGGAACGCAGCAATAAAGATGAACAGACCATCCTTCCCGCCTCTTCCCAAAAACACTAAAAACACAAAGTGTGTGGTTTTGAGGGCAAAGAAAAGCAGTGGGAGTGCAGATAAGGTTCAAGCCTTGGTCTTTCCAGTCACTTCCAATGCATCTGAAAGCTGAACAATGAGTAAGTATGAAAAAATAATTGATGTTTTTGAACTGTGATTCTGAAGAAGATAAATGAATATCCCATGGGTGGCCTAAAGAACAAACAAGTATGTCACAGAGAAGGTGCAGCCAGAGTGCTCCTTGGAGACAAAGATGGTAAAGCTTCATCTCACATGGTGTGGGCACGTTGCTAGACAAGACTAGTCCTTGGAGAAGCAATACCGTCCTTGGAAAGGTAGAGGAACAAAGAGCGGAAAAACTGTCAACAAAGTGGACTGACACTGTGACTGCAGCAACAGGCTTGAGTGTATCATAGACTGTAATCTGTTGTTTATAGGGTCACTGTGAGTCATACTCAATTCAATGGAAACAAACAACAACAGCCCAAATGTCATCTGGAAGGTGAGAGGCCTGTACACAGAAAATGATAAAATATTACCAAAGAGAAGTAAAGAAGCTTAAGTTTCTTGGAAAAAGATCCATGTTTGTGAATTGCATGACTTGCTCACACAAAGAAGTAATACAATTTCTGGTTGTCTGCCAACCATTTCCTTCTTTCAGGAGGTAGTTTTCTAAGAACTGCTATACCAATTTGTGGTCACATGTTGTTTTAAAAAATTTTCACCCCATAGTACTTACTTAAAAAGTTGTCGTTGTTTGTTGTTATGTGCCGTCGAGTCGTTTGCGACTCATAGCGACCCTATGTACAACAGC